TTTTCTATTTTCTATTCCGAAACACTTAGACAATTGCAAATTAAATACCTAGTAAGATAATGGTCTTTAAAATTACGATAATTCATCAAAATTACAAATCCAAAAACTTTCAAATTCTTGCTTGCAATTACATTCGTATATCTTTTTAAAACAATCGTTGCATGCTAAGGAGACTCGCTTCAAGGGTGGAAAATACAGCTAGAATCTCCTCCGTTAGCGTGTTATAATTGAAGAATTATTCAAATGCATTTGCACCCACTTAACGAGTATACTGATTTTGCGATTTCCGCTCCCCGTACTTTGAACACGTACTTCCAATAAGCATCACTAATTTACTTAGTGGAACTCTGCGTTGTTCTTTTAATAAATGTTGCTGTAGATTTATAATTTTTATTTCTTTATACCAAAGAATTAATGACGACGTAATTCTAAAATATTATCCATTTTCTTTATATTCGTGCACAAAGACATTTAATAATCATAATTATCATGCTAAGTCAGTTTCCTTATATTTGTTTGTGATTATTGATTAGATTAAAACGTCAAATAAAATCACTTCTGTGAATATATCAAGAACTCATTCAGTGAAATCGTTCCATGCACATTTTATTTAGAGTTCATTATTTAGAGAACATTAAATGTTCGTTGAGCCGATCTCAAATAAAAGATTCGGCAAAAAATGGAATATTCATTATTCACCCACAGAATGATTACTATTAATAAACTTTTTTGTGATCAGAAAGACTAAACAGAATTGTGTATTACCTGTGCATGAAGTCGCGAAAGAATGTTTGAACATCGCATAAATTAGATATAACGGGAGACACCTTTAGTTTTTAGGTGTCGGGAAAGGCAACACCCTCGAGCGACTGCGTGTTGCAGCGATAATTTGCTTGGTCTGTTGACACGGACGACCTGACAACGAATTTTGGCGCGTTATTTGCTGGTTGAATTCAAGTTTGCAGGTTCGTGTAGTAGTATAATATTGCATGGCTATTACAAATATTGTGAGGGAGTATGTACTGTTTTATCACCAGTTGTTTTCATGTTAGATTTTCCATGCTAGAGCTGACGCAAGCTGTAGCTGCGACCAAGTCTCATCAGAGTAGGCTAGGATAGTCTCTCACCAGCTGAATGATCGATTGTAAAATCGGTACCAAGCATGCGGCAGTCGAAGAGGCGACTGCTACCCGAAACCCGATTAGCCGAAATGCTCGGGCAAATATTCGCATCCTTTGATATGCATCAATGTACGCTGGGGGCAGGCGCTCACTGGAAGTCTGACACTTGGTAAAGATTCGGCGAGCAGTCGCTCGTTCCTCATCCAACGTGGCGCGGTCTTGTACCACGCGGAGGCATCAACACAGGCATGCTATCAACACATCTCGGGCCTCGCATCCCGCGCTCCCACACATCCAACACGTCACCGAAACCTCCGGTAGAGAAGAAGTAACCTCAACCGACGCTAATACTTTTACTGATACCTCTAATCCTGATAGTTTCTGTGCCCCGTCTGAAAATTCAGTTTTAAAAAACGCGTTTGAACAATAGGTGGTAAAAGTGACCGGGTTTGCGCCTCCTCTAGCGGCTAATAGTTATTTATGCACCAAGGCCGTTATAAGGGTTCGAATGACCGAGCGACGATAGAGCCCAAAGGCCTTTGGCCCGAGGGCTGTTTGGCGCCCGAGATCTTTAGAACCAGTTAACGCCCTTCGTACATACATGATTTTTTATGCAATTTTAATGTTTGAGATTGACTTATTGACTAATTAACTTGACTCGCTTTGTCTTTTCATATAACCGGCCCATAATTCCCTCCAGAAGAAAACATGTATCACTGTTTTTTATTACTCTCGTAACCACGATCCTGTTATGCAGTTTATATCGAACTCCGTATCGAAGTCAATAACAAGCAATAGGGTATCAGTAAAAAGTAAACAGTTTATTTCTCTCGCCAAGCATACTAGTCATAATAAGCCTGTAGATTTGAGAGTCGACAAGTGCGCCCAAATACATGGAACTGGATTGGCAAAAGCACCAAAGAGTCAACGACGAGGGAATTCAATACAACATCTGAATTTTCGTGCCATCAATTTAAAGAATGTATTAAATTGAAGAATTGATTATTTTGGAGAGATTTGCCCATAACATCAATGTTTAAATTTCCCCATACAACAATTTGATTCCAAACACAGATTACTAATTATGCTCAGGGTCATCTCTCAGATTTTCTAAGAAAGATAAGTAGTAATCTCTATCGCTTTCTTGTAGGTCTGTAGATGCAAAGTAGTATCATTTTGAGCGTAGTAAGATGACTGCCATTTCAAGAATGTGTTCAACTGACTAAATTATGACAAAGTAGAATCATCATATGTAAGGGAAATCTCCATATATCTGTAATCCATATATTCTCCATATATCTGTAATCTCCGTAATCTTCATATACCGAGCCCTTATTTCATTCCCTCATTCTACAATAGGATCATGCAAGACAAAAACAGAACATTGGAAGACAAATGATCTTACCTGTCCGAGTAACGCCGCGTCAAAGGCTATGATGTCGACATTTCGACCATCTTAACGTGCTGTCACCGCGGCGACACATGGACAGCCAAGATAATTCACATGACTCCTGCATATTTTGTGATACATCATCCTGCAAAATAACAGAACATTTACCTATTAATATTCATAATGTAAAAAAATCATTTCAGAACGAATGATAGAATATTTAGCAATAATATATCGTAAGTGTGATTCAAACGATGCCATTTCAATATACCATGGACGCTTTGCTGATTCCTTTATTACCACTGGAAGACTTCCTCGTAATGTATGAAATTAGGGATATAAACAAAAAATGTCAGTAAATTCAAGTTTTCAATATCATACTTGTTATGATCCGTAAATATTACTTAACATGGAAGGACGTTCGTTAAAATAGTTTTTTTCACTAGATAATACCAGTTCTGTTTCATACAAATTTAACAAATAGCTTTCTGAATATATTCTTCTATAATAAAATGAATTCTAATTGAGTATTATTAATTTTACTATTGAGTATTATTAATTTTACTATTGAGTATTATTAATTATTCAAAATCATTCACACGAAAATAAGTACGCTAAACGTATCCGTAAACAATTAACAAATCATTATTTTTGAGGGCATGACACGATCGACTGATCAACATCCTAACTCGGTAACACAGATGTAGTCACCATATTTCGAACTATTTTGTAGTCCTTAAGTATCCTTCGTACGCATGATTGTCAGACCCTGCGAAAAGTTTTGATAAAAACCGATGATCATAAATCATTCTTTTGAGCTCGGAATGAAACTTTTTCATTTTCTATTCTTCTTCTCCTCCTCATCCTTCTATCTTCTTTTCCTCCGCCTCCTCCTCTATTTTCTTCTCCTTGTTGTGTTTGGTACGAGTACTACATCTCCATTCAGATATTAGCAACCAAGAACACATTAATATTAACTAAAACTTGGTCTTTACAAACAATCCTGAAATTAATGTTGATTTAATTTCATATTTTGTAATGTAATATTTTGTTAAAGTAAATCGGGAAATTTCTCTCTTCTCCCTGCTGTAGCAGCAGTAATGGTATAACGGTCCACGAAATTCAATTTGCATACGATGGCCCTCTCCTTTAACAAATAAAAGATCGCACTTGGCTCTCCAAACCCGCGAGTTGGGGTGAGCCGACGTTTCGTGGTCGGAGGGCGAGGAGGCCTTGCGCCGCTGACCCCGTGTCAGCTGAGGGAGGAGGTGCGGTGGTGGTCGGGGGCGCGGGCCACTTGCTGCGGGGAGCGTGACGGGGCCCACGCCGGGGGCCCGGACGGGGGGCGCGGGCCGGGAGCCGTGACGCCAGGCGCGGGTCGTAGGCCCGGCCGTCGGGGCCTGACCCCCGCCTCGGGTGCATCGAGCGCCACACGGGCGCATACTGGAGTGCGCGCGAACTGTGTGGCGCATACTGGCGTTCAAGGAACCTTGTGTTCTGCGTCCAATATGCAGGCGCCAGCTGGTGTCAGTAGCTGATCGAGGGCCGTTGAGTTTTGAGAATATTGTGGTATAATAATTCTTTTTTAATGACATTTACGTCATAGTATCTCGAAAGGTGCGATTGATAGCACCACATACCAAGGGAGAAGTACAATTATTTTTAAAACTTCAAGTTAACATATTTTTATTCTCATTTCAAAATATTTAGAGGGGGACTAAATTTAAATTCGTCCGGTCTTCAAATACTTTCTAAAACCGCACTAAACTGCTACTAACGCGTATAGAAACAAGAGATGATGCCTATGCATACACAGTACTTATACTTCTGTTCTGGTAATTACCATCGGTATAGATACTGAAGAATCGATTGTATAGTAGCATCTATATCATAACTACAGTGGTATCAGTGTCTATCATGTGACCTAAAGACCTTTAAGAGAACTAATATCCAAAATAAAAATAGCTATATAAAGCACTATATTTAATTCTTCTGTTCAGACATGTAGCCAGGGGAACTTGGAAGCTAAAGCCCCCTCCCCTTAAATTTGTTGACATTAATTCCTTCGCAAGTTGTAAATAGAAGTTCCGTTGAAAATATAATTATTGTTAATACTATTTGTTTTAATAATCGTTAATATAATGGTTATTGTTAATAGGTGTTGCTAGTAGGGTAACAATAGAGGTAGGTTAGTAGATGCAGAAAGCAATATTTTTTAAAAAATGTCCCCTGCAATTACGTTTTGTGGGTACTGAACGTCGCACATCACCATTTCGTGCAACGTACATCCATTTAAAATAAGGTGCCTGGCCACTGACCGTGCAACCAAGTTGACGCTAGAAGAAGGGAATATTTTCATTTGCCTTCTAGAAAAATCAATCGGTTCCACGAGAAAATTGAAGTTACCGGAGATCAGTCTAGGCAGGTGTTTGAGGAAGTTTCTCTGTAATTTAACGCTCGCTCAGAACATATAACTTAGGTCTCACTTCATGAAAGAATTGGGAGCATTTTTGGGAAAGGGTCGGACTATTAGGGAAACGGTTAGTAGTACGAGAGAAGCACAGACCGGAAAGGAAATATGTAAGTTAGCAATGCTAACAGCTAGCTATGTAAATAATGAAAAGGGTAATCAGTAATTAAGTTAGTAACTTTATAGATAAATAAAATAATCCCTAAGAAAGAAAATAATAAGTAAATGCCTAAGTAAATCAATAATAAATTTTAAACCATCAAATAATTAAATGAGAAAGGTAGGGGGCAAATGTGAGTTGATGTCCGAGAAATACGCGCAGAGGTGAGGGTGCGGACAATGCGTGGGCGGTAAACTTCGACACCGTGTGACCGATCTCCATGAAAGTTGATTCATCTATGTATTTTTTCACCCAAAAGGTTTATGTGCTATTAATGTTGTTAGAACTTCACCAGATGGCGCTGCAGATTAAAAATGCGCTTCATTTTAATTCAATTTCTACTCAAACTGAACTCCACCTGGGCTTCATTGTCATCACAGAGAGGCGGAGACAGACGGGGGAGGGGACAGAGAGGCAGAGACAGACTTAGAGAGACACAGAAACAGAGTCAGACAGACTGATACAGGGACAGAGAAAGAGAGAGAGAGAGAATGAGAGAGAGGGAGGCGAAGAGAGACCGAAAGAAGGTGCGTGAGATGGGGAGAGGAAGGGAGAAATAAGGAGAAAGAGGGAGTGAAGGGCAGATTCTGTCTGGTTCCGCTCTGTGATTACCTATTAAATGAATAGAGTTCTCTGTAAGTGCGTTATATGATTATGGCGCGTGTTGCAGGTGGTGCTGGCGGCGGAGGCGGGCGCGTACCTGCCCGTGCGCCGGCCGCTGGACGACGGCGACTGGCCAGGCGACTGGGACGCGCGCGCGCCGCTGGGCCTCTCCACGCACGGCTGGCGGCCCAACACCACGCGCGTGCAGCGTGAGTACACATCGCCTTCTCCTCCCCAGGGGCAAAGGGGTGAATCTTCTCAAGGGGGGGGGGCAATAGTTCAAAAATTTAAAAAATGACACCACTTTTTTCAAAGCATGGAAAGATTTTGACAGCTAGGAATACCTTACAAGACGGCCTCGAGACATTCAATGAATAGGCAAAAAATTAGAGAATTAAAATAAATTCAGGCAAAATGTTCACTCTACGATATCAATACATTCATTTAAAACAATTTAAAGTGTATACTCTCCGCAAACCTCCTCAACACATACTCAATTAAAACTCAAACCTAAAATGTACCCACAGAAATACGCCACCTATGTAGGTAACAGAACTGTTAAGACACTACACTAAACTGTACAATATTTCAAATTAATATCTGACAAATCACAAGCATAAATATTAAAATTATATCCAATAACAACAGCAAAATATGCACTTTTCACTGACATACTTATCCACAAATCAAACAGATTCTATATGCCAACCCATTTAAGAAACACGTAGCATGAATGTACCTAAATAAAGTAGAAGTCAGCCGTCTACTCAGAGTCCACGATCGCGTATTCCCCTCCCAATAGCGGGCATGAAAGCCTCGCTGCGCAGAAATGAGGCGAGCACGAGCAACGGTCACCGGAGAGAGCTCGAAAATGTACTCGAGCCGCCTAAATTTATTGTCCTTATTGAAACTAAAGTTGTGCCCTTATATTCACTCGAATGATTTACATATAGTATCATATGTTGTCAGTTAATACCCGTATTATAACATTGGGGTAATAAATTAATCCAATTGATGTTACGTTTTTCCACTGTCTTTCAAAAGAAAGAAAGCGCTGCTCCTTTGTTGCCCCCGAAAATTAAACAAATATCATAAACAGCTTCTATTGGTCTCCCCTCAAATTTGATTCTTGCTATAAAATGTATATAAAAGTTAACAAAATATTTAATGGCATTATGTTCTTTCACGTCGCTTAAAATAAAACTAAATAAAGTGCTAATCGAATGGCACCTGTTCCTTTCCTTCCTTACATTGTATATTCTTATGCAGGGAACTTATGCGCGTTTTTATACAGCAAAATTTTCCAAAAGGGATAGTTAATATAAGGAAGAATAAAAGAAAAAAACTACTGTATGAGAGTTGGCATTGTAAATGACAAAGGGAATTTAAAGGAGAGTTTAAGTGATATGTAGGGACATTTAATGATGGTGTGTAAGGCAATGGCTAGAACGAAGGAGAGTTCATGGAAGTGACTTCTTACCAATTACCTCTGCCCACAGATATCGAAGCTGAGTGCCAAGACGACTATATGAAGATTCGCATCGGGTTCAACGGATCCTTCCATGGACTCCTCTACTCCTCAGGTGAGTGGCGCCAGCAACTATTCCGCAACCCGCTGAAGAACTCACCGTCTCATAACAATGAATCTCTGCCATTAATAAAATGTTAATATTTTTTAATGCTCGACAAAATTTGGTCTCATGAACTTGAATATACTGAGAGATGCACGATAAAGTTGATAAACGTAAGACTGTAGTACGATGAAACCTCTCTGTAATTTTATATCTCCGAAAGAGAGACATAAAATGCAATTTAATACTGTAAAAAATGGATTCTCAGATTTTGGCGGGAGAATTCCAGACCAGTAGAGTTTCTGATTACAAAAAGCGTTGTTTTCACTTTCTCGAATATCCATACTCCGTATACGGATGAGTATTGTAAGGCTGTAGGAAAAAGATGAGAGATTTTGATAGAAAAATGCGTTTAGTGGATCTCTAATTCATAAATAATGGATTTTTTTATTCAATACGTCATTTATGTTTTTCACTTCCTTGTATTAGAGTCAAAATGCAGGTTTTATGGGTCCTTGATAATGAAAAGTTTGTTTTTTTTTTTCTTCAAAAACGTCTGTCCGCCTGACCGTCTGTGAACAATGCTAGCTCCTAAACCTAGGATTTTCACCAAAAATATAATTACTCATCGATCTGGCTTATGTCGCAGTTCCTAAAATTTGAAAAGGATCTTTTGATTTTGGGGGTACTTTATATAACGTTCATTCAATTGCCTACAAGTGTTTTCTACATCATGTCTGCAAGTATTTTCTATAATTTTTTGTTCGAATAAAAAACTGTTTTAAAATGGCACAGATACTATATTCAGTAAAACCTCTGAATTTGCAAAAGTTCAAAATTTTTTTTTTATTTTTTCTTATACCTACATTATAGAAACAACTTGTATTCTTATATTATTATATATTCATGTATTTTATATTCTTCAATACAAATTCTATAAATTTCGTCATCACATAAGTATTTTTTTTAATATGAATAGTTCTCACGTAATTTTGAGTCACTGTGAAAAATTTCCAAAAAAACTAAACAAGATTTGTAGATAAAGGCTAATTTTTTCTTTAATATTTTCGTAAGAATAGAGCACATTGCTCTGAATTCTGTGGCATTGGCGCCATTTCTGTTAAAACGTTAATTGTAAAACGTTTTATTGTGTATTCTTTAATCTCCCGTGCTTCGTTTTGCAAAAAGCTTTTTTAAGACATGTTAGTAGAATGCATGCTTCAATAGCATAATATTTCGTAATTGTTACTAATAATACGAGAAAGTATGTACAGTTGTAGCAACATTAGTTTTGATCCTTAGCTTGATTTTTGAAAGTTTCAAACACAAATCTATTATATTAAAGGAAAATTGCTAATATAACAATCCGATAACAATAACAGATATATTTCAAAAATATAATGTCACTAAATTTAACAAGACTTGGTTGTATTTTACAACAATACGGAAAAGAAACAAAAGCATCATTACCCCCAAAGTCAGAGCCGGTGCGGTTTGATGATTGTAATAACTTACACTATTATACTACTCATTGTTATACCTTCTAGAATATTACGATCATTCCGAAATTACAGTACTTCCTGTCGTTATAACTAATGGTAAAAAGAAAATAAAAGAAAGCACTGAAGTTGTCTGAGCCCGGAGTTTCTCCCTTGCCCCAAGGAGCCTGAGTAGATTGCACGGACTGTGTTGTGCTGTGATATGTTGTGACGAGGTGGCCTCTGCGCAGGGTACGCCTACGACCCCGACTGCGTGTACGTGAACGGCTCGGGGCGCGACTACTACGAGTTCTACATCCAGCTGAACCGCTGCGGGACGCTGGGCCGCAACGCGCTGCAGGAGGGCCGCTCCGCGCCCTCGGTGAGCGCAACAGTGCGCAACTTGGCGTCCTTGGCGTTCTCTCCACGACAAAGCTTCATTTTACTGATGAGCACAAAATGCCAAGTGTCAAATTCTATTAGTTACGGTCGGAAAAACGACGGTCCGTACCTAGACCATCCGGAGCCCTTGCCATTTGGAGACCCGACATGCACCAATGTTCGCCGGGAAGCCTATTTAGCCTAGTCGTAGTTCAGAATCTTCCGTAATTAAAATTTCATGAAAAATATCTTTAGAAGTCTAACCGAAAAACAGTCAAAGGGTTTTCGTTTAGCGTTTACTTAAAAAACCTTTGATGGAATGTTTCTGTAGGAGTCATTCTGATATAGATTAAATTTCCCTATGTTGGCCAAGGGGACCAAGGCTTGAGTAATAATTTTCCATTTCTTGTCAGTAGAGGATTCTGGAGATATAGGGATCGTGTCTTTCCCAAAGTCAACACTTGCTTGGGAAATTACTATTTTCATTCCAAACAATGGCCGCATATTGATCCTATCACATTCAAAGGAGAATTCGCGTAGTGAATGTAAATTTAGGTTTCAAGCTAACGGTTTTATTTTTTAATATTATTTAAGGACCAAGCTGAGGTTTTATGTTTTCTTGCCAATTGAAGAATTTGCCCTTTTACAGGGCTTTCCATTTGTATTCATTTTATATCAAATATAATATTGCACTATTATGCTTTCTCCCGTAAGAAACGCCGTCGACCAGCTTTCTCTTATCAGGCTGCTTTCTGCGCAGAAAAACTTCATGTGGAACACGGTCACGGTGCAGTACAACCCGCTCATCGAGGAGGACTGGGACGAGCACTTCAAGGTGACGTGCGAGTACGGCTACGACTTCTGGAAGACCGTCACCTTCCCGTTCCTCGACGTGGAGTAAGTGCGCGCATGGCACGACATTGCGAATCTCCCAGCAGTGCAGCGAGCCATGTAACGTGTGTGCACTCTCACACTGAGTGAGAGGGAACGTTATTTTTTTTAAATTAATTTAATTGATCATCAAAACCCAGCAAAACTACATGTGGCGTATTTGGAAGAAATGTAATCTGCGTACACTTCTTGAGTTTCAGGACCTCTTCTCCATACTTTTATAATATACAGATAGATGACGAATAGCGGTACCAACAACCATGGTTGGCAACAACTGAAAACTACAATTTTTCCCATCCGAGTAATAGAACACGTATATGCGCCGCCAAACAAACTAGAGATTTTATTTGATAGTATTGCTGGCAAAATAACTTCCCGCCCCCCGTCTTATTCCTCCCATAACTAGCAATAGGAAATCTCAACAAAACATACGGATTTTGAAGATAAATTAACAGTTCAGAGGTAAAAAAGGCAAAGGAGCGGTCATCTCAGCATTTGCTCAATGGGTCGAGGGAAACAACTAAAAATCTCGTAGAGATGGTATTCATTGATCCGGAAGCAAAAGTACAAAACGGCTTCACTCATTATGATATTTTCCGTCATTTAAGGAGTATCAGGCAGTAAGATATTTTCATTAAATCATTCGCTGCAACGTATCTAGCTTTCATTATATACTGTGAAATTATAAGAGCGACGTTTTAAATAACATTTCCATCAGACATATTATACACAGTGTAATCCAATATAAAAAATCGCTGTTTTCCGGCTCACGATTACATAACTTTCTATTCTTACGAAGTACCTTCTTAAGGGTGAGAACTTAAGAGTTAAACCTGAATACGAGGGAATCCTGTATTAATGAAACTTATTTTCAAGTACATTGTTAAGCGAAAAAACTTCTATTTCTGAGAATTTTAAACTTGTTTAACAACTTCTATTCGTGCGAATTTTAAACCTGTTGCTTCTCCATCCAGGTATTTTCGGTTTTTACTGTCAGAGAACTTTACATTCTTGGGTCTCTCCAAAAGATCATTTTGCGAAATTTGTGGATGTTTCTACACATTCTTTACTTCTTATTAACGTACAAACTTACAAAAAGAACTTGATGCCTCTGTGAACTTGCAAACTGTAACTTGCAAAAAGAACCTCATGCCGCAAATGTGGAAGCGAAAGTTATATTCGATGGTAGTAAACAACAGTTTAAGGTGCTATGAGAATATGAAAAAGGTGAGACACATTAAGAAATTTATAAAGTATTTAGTGAGGCTAAGTCGATCCTAATTTTAATTTTTACTTCAGATTTGCATTGAAAAAGAAAACAATATACAACATTGTTAATAAGTAAAGTTCACAGCGAGGAAAGGACATTAGTTGGAACGCATTTTGTAACTTTTCCGTAAATTCATGTCTATTATATGCACTTGTGTTCTTTAGCCCACATTTCGCTAGATGCAAGAGGTGTGGAGGAGGGGGGTGTTTATTTTGACGGCAGAACTATTATATTACATATTTTGCACGTGTATCGATAAAAAAGGTATTCAATTACACTAGAGCGAACATTTCCTGTTCATCAGATTTTATCAACAACGCTTATTGCTATCTTTTATTATTAATTTGACTAATTTTGGTAAAGCAGTGGTGGGTATGGATTCCGGGGCTCAACAAAATTTGTGCGTGTTATACCTCAAGTAGTTGTCCACGCTCTACCCTCTTTGGTCTGAGATTCTAACACATGAATTTCCAACATTTTTCTTTCATCGACCCCTTTTAAAAGAATCGTCAGCTCATCGACCCCGTTACGTTTTTGTCTATACCATACACAATCATAATGGCACAAAGAATGGCACATGTCTTACAGAAAATAATTTCGTACATCACAGTTTTGGTAGATATATTTTCAATATTCAAAGACAGGGGATCATTCAGGGCATTGAGAAACACTGCTCTAATAGAACGCGGCTGGAGAGGTCATCCTGTGTATTCTTACTACTCTTTTGGTGGTTAGTGCAGTACAGCGGCTTATACCAAGGTAGATGTCAGCATGACTTTTGCAACCACATCTAGACAGCCTTTCATGTTAATTGCATAACAAATAATTACCGAGTGAAGTGGCTCAGTGCATAGCGCACTGACTTCGCAATCGGGAGGTCCGGGTTCGATCTGTGGGCCGGCCATCCTGACTGGGGTTTTCGTGATTTCCCTCGCTCATACAGAGATGGTTCAAAAAGGCCCACGACCTCCTCCCACCAGCCACTTCCCACCATCATCCTGGTCCTTTCGCCCCGTCATATCGCTTCATTCAGCATTCCCTGCAAAAACGCAGAAGACCCTAGCTCTTAATAGGATCTTAGTTGAATAAATAATAATAATAATAATAATAATAATAATAATAATAAT